TAACTAGAAATCCTTAATCAGGATTTAATATAAATTCAGAAGAATGACAGTTACTTCAACAATTAATTACCTCTCAAATACCCTCTGTAACTAGTCTATTAACAACTCCAATTACTACTCTATCTTTAAAAACAATGACAGCAGCTACTAGTGAACAGATAAGGCAAGCTCTTGAAGGAATATTTAGAATAGACAAAGTTTAATTAAATGTATGAGAACAAACAGAATGAACTATAGTAAAGGTTGATTATTTTTATGGAACTGAAACAGAAGACCCTGCGGAATAGTTTGCTATTTTTGAAAAAGCAGCCACTATTAATTGATAGATCAATGCCTCAAAAAAGAAGGTTATAGTCAGAGAATACTTAAAGGAGCCAAAGCTGACTGGTTTGAAGAAAATACAGAAATTATAGCAAATAATTGAGCTATAACTACAAACAATGAAAACAATTTTGTAGACATGTTTAACATTCAGTTTATTAATGAAACTAGAAAGAATAAATAGTACCAGGAGTTAACTTCTCTAAGATAACATTCAGATGAATTAGTGGATTTTTATATAAATAAATTCCGTAAGCTAGTTAAAAGAGTAAGCATGACTGATAATGCTCAGCAAAATAAATGTTCCTTATAGGACTAAATCCTGCTTACACTTCAATAGTATATATACAAGTTTCTAATGATTTAGATATAATAGTAAATGTTACTAAAAATATCAGAATTAATTATAATTTCACTATTGGAAAAATTCTAAGAAATATAAATGTAACTCCTTCTACTTTTGCTGTTGTACTACTAAAACCCACTCTAATTATTAATACCAGAAATAGATGAATTTACAAAGAAGCTGGAACAACTTACCATAAATTATGCTAATCTATCTTCTGCAATGCTAACCTAATCACAGACCCTTAGAAGGAGAAACAGACTAAACATGAATACTTATAGGCCTCAAAATACAAAATATAATGATTTTACTTATTATAATTACAATGCTTTAGGATATATTGCATGAAATTGTATCCAGCTGCAATGATATCATCAAGATAACTATAGATCCCATTTTAGCAAAACTAGAGAAATGCATTTGGCAGATCAATATACTGATAAAGAATATAATGATTACAATTATAAAATAGATGAAAATGATAAATAGAAGTTTACTTGAATACCTGATTGAGACTGTATCCCAATAATCCAATATCAAAAAACTGAAGGATCAAAAGCATGAAGTCTCAAAGAGAAGAAAACCTTAGAATATTTCCTAAATCAACTGTTATGCTAAATTTTGCAAAAGAATTTGTATAAACGAATAATCCCATTTCTAATGTAAACTGAAGTTTTAAGTAACTCTAAAAATGTCAAAAAAGATTAATGCCAGCTCTGATTGAATAATTAATGGAATTCAATATCGCTACTTATTTCTAGAATCTTCTATGTGAATTATTGGTTAAACAAACCACTTATACTATACCAAATTATTACTTTAGTTTAGCCAGAGCTGTAAGAAGATCTAGAGAAAAGGTTTTCAAGAAATCCAAAGAAGCAAATTTGACCAAAAGTGATGATGAACCTATTTTCGCAGCCAAATATATTCTTCAAATTTGAAGAAAAATCAAAACTGCTATAATTGATAATAGCATAATTACAAGTATAATTATGAAGGTCCTATTAGATAAATTGGGTTATAATATTGATAGAGCCTCAAAAATAATCATTGTCACAGCAAATAAAGCTAAAACTCACTCCTTAAAGATTGTAAATAACATTCTGGTAATAATTAGAAGAATCAAAATTTTAACCTTTTGGAATCCTGGAATGAAATCCTAATTTTGGAAAATAATTAGTTTAGAAACTCAAACTCTAATATGAATTGGAAAAAATCTACTCTAACCATTAGGAAAAGTCAAATTACAATTGGATCCTAATTACCTTTACAAATCTTAAAGGTTGTGACTTATAATGAATTAGATGAAGTTTTAGAAGAAGATTACAAAAAGGAATACCTTAAAAAAATACTGATTTATTTCTCTAATTCCTTTGAGAAAGATTTGGTTAACTAAAGCGAATTAAAATTTAATCCATAGATTAACTTCTATTCTCCAAAAAGTTTAGAAGCTAAAACTGACAATAATAATAATATCAACTCAACAAATACTAAAGATATAAATAAATCTGGCTATATTCTTAACTAAAATCACCTAAGATAGATCCGTATCTTAAATCAAACTGAACCTCTAGACCATCATTAACAGAAACTCTTTCAATCACTTTTAAAGGATTATACTGATATTTATGCTAAGTCAAATTAAGATCAGAAGAACGAATTTAATAAAATACTGAATTTTAACTAGCAATGCTACGCTTATCATACAAACCCATATTGAACTAACCCAAAGAATTGAGAATTTCTTAAGAATGAGATAGTTATGATAAAAGAATAAGGAATAATCCAAAAATCCTCAAGCTATCGACTAAATTTTCAATAGTATGCATTGGAATTTCTCGCCATGCCTTTTTAACATAGCAGTTGAGGTCAGCAAGATTCGATGGTGGTTTTTTATATGCACGAATGTTTTTTTTAATATCAGCCCATAAATTTTCAATTGGGTTAAGATCAGGACATTGGGCTGGTCAAGTAAAATATGACTCCGTGTTGTTCTTTGGTTAATTCTTTATTTTGTCCCATTATTTTTCGATTTGGTAGAGATTAAGTTAATTAAGTCAAAACAACAAAAACAACACAAATTTTTTTATTTTGATTATGTAAATAAACAATAGACGGTCATATAACCGCAGTATAGTATCACAATTATATGATGAAAATTTGTTAGATCGCATTTATAAAGATGTCCGGAAACTTTTGTCCACCCTCTGTAACTTCTTGTTGTATGCTTTTTAAGTTCGGTGTGCTTCAAAAATACTCTTCTGTTTGGTCAATTATATAAAGATTAATCATATCCTTTTGACCACAAACTCACAGGTCAGAAGAATTTTTTTTTATGGAAATTATCCTATTGAAAACATTTTTTTGGACTGTTAATTGCGTTGATGAATTATTCATTCACGTTCAAATTTCGCTTAATTGAAAATCCTGCTCAAACTTAATATCCTATTCAATTTTTGATATTCGACAAAATAATAATTTATCATCAAATGAGAGTCCCTTTTGAAATTAAAAAAATATATTTAATTATACTTAAAAAAATCTGAGTATGGTTCTTTGTATGAACTTTAAATGTTAATGATAATACGTTCGTCAAAATGTATGACGCAGAAATAAAATCACGTGATAGACGTGTCCGTCTGAATATTATTAATATCTCAAGTCAATTTGCAAGGTTTCTTTCGGAAAGTCTATCTTATTGTTACTAATTTTTATTTGTACGTACTTTTCCTAAGATAGGGGTTATTGATATGATGATTTATTATTATTCAAGTATATTATATTATTTACGGAAAGTCCATGCCAGTATTCGTAGTTGGCGCAGCAGTCATTTATTATATTTATTACCTTTCATAAACGCGTTGATACTTTTCTCAATCTTATTGATTATTTCCAAAAAGATTAGGCAATTTATATGCTTTATCTAATTCAGTGTTCACAAAAAATTTTTATCTGTTGACAAAAATTGATGATTCACATGCAGATATTTAATTTTTTTTTCTTTAGGTAACGTTAATTACTAAATCGCTATATAAAGAAAAATTTTCCTAAATATGGGCAGAAAAAAAGAAGCGCTTTGATGATCTTTCATTGAAAAATCTGCTAAAAGATTTGGTGTTCGTTCACACGCAATATAAGCCAATTAGATGGGAGACAAAATCAAAGCGGTGATAAAGGATTACACAAATAAGGTTGCCCCAAACTTTGTCGAGAAATCTTGCGCTCGCTCCCAAGGTTTGTCATATGGATGTTGTTTTTAAATGAAAGTATTATCATATACTAATTAATGATTTCAATATATTTAGGTTAATATTAGAAATATCAAACGGTATATACTGCATATAATATAAGTAATATAAATAATATAAATAAAAATTTATATTTCTTGTTTATTTGCAAATATAAGCCCCCATTTGAAGTTTCATTCATTTTTTTCTTTTTTAAGGAGTTCATTTGGAATGTCACGTGATGGTATTTCTTAATTCAGTTATGCTATATTTAGAATAAATTAGATGCATATTTTGTGTTCAAAAAAAACGAACAAAGTGGGAAGAGTGGTAGAATATTCCGTTAGCAAACTATAACTTTTGAAAAATCCAGAATTTCTTATTTCACCAAATTTTCAATTTGCTTTTTTTAATCGGAATTTCTATTACTTTTGACTTTTTTGTCGAACCAGTTCATTACGCTTTCAGGAGCTTTCTTCGTTTTTCATGTTCATTAAAAAAATACTATTAAAAGGTGAATAATAATTTCTCGGATTTACACCCAAATTTTTAAACAACGAACTTTCTACGACAATAAATTTATATTCATTGAATTCCGATAATCCATCATCAAAAAGACGTAATTAAATCGTAACGTCAAATAAAAAACTTCTTGAAATCAACCATAGTGCGCAGTAAAATGCAATTACTGGTGTTACATCCAGTTATTTGCGCACATATAAATCGATTTACATCAATCCAACCTATTCCGTTTGATCAGTTCACAGCCTTTTTCAAATATGTCTTCGTTATTTCACACCGGTCTTTCAAAAGACCTTTCGACAATATTAGATGATGCCGATGGTTTTAACGTTATTATTAAAGCTGGTGAATACACAAATTCAAAAATATTTCGTGCACATTCGGTCATCTTACGAGCACGCAGTCCATATTTTGAAGCGGCCCTTTCGCCTAAATGGATTATGAAGAAGAATGGCATAATCATATTTAATAAACCGAACATCACTCCGATCGTTTTTGAAATGATCTTAAAGTAAGTCTTTATTTAAGTGATCCCATTATTATTATTTTATACCGATTATAATAAATGTAACGTTTCATCAATTATGAAGGTATTTATACACGGGTGAGCTAAATTTGAACAAACAATTGGGGAAGAATATTTTCGACTTGCTAATTGCATCCGATGAGTTACTCCTCGAAGAATTATTTAATCATGTTCGAGATTACTTGGTTGAAAAGAAATCTACCTGGGTAAAGCAAGAGGTCAGACAAAATTTCGTCCTAATCCTCAATGCCGTATTTAGACTTCCTGGCTGCAAGAGGCTGCAAGATTGTTGTCTCGAATTAATCTGCGCAAATCCACAACTAATCATTACCTCGAAAAGCTTTACATCGTTAGATGGTGACATCATATTTGTCTTACTTAGGAGGGATGATCTACAAGCCAAAGAGATTGTCATCTGGGATTGTTTAATAGAATGGGGGATTAGAAAAACTGATGGATTGAGTAGCGATATTGCTAAATGGAGTCAAGAGAATGTTGAGGGGTTAGGGAGAACGTTAAATCAATTCATCCCCCTTATTCGATTTATGGAAATTTCACCTGACGATTTTTATGATAAAGTTCGTCCTTATAAAGCTATTATTCCCAATCAGATTTATGACGAAATCGAGAAATATCATTATAGAAATTCCATACCGAAAACTTTCTCGTTACAACCGCGATCCAGAAAGATTAAAACGAAACCCATCAAATCAAATATCTCAACTTTAGTAAATTATTCCAGACTTTCAAGAGACCTCTCTTTGAGATTAAATGATGGTGATGATTTCAACGTGATCATTCAGATTAGTGAAGATAAAAATGCAAAATCATTCCGAGCACATTCGATTATTTTACGAGCTCGTTCTTCATATTTTAAACGCGTTCTTTCGGTTACAAAGAAGAATGACCTGATCACGCAATATAAACCTAACTTCACTCCGGTCGTTTTTAACATGATCTTAACGTAAGTTATATTCAATTACACAATATAAATTGTACGAAGATAATTTCAAAACTAAATTTTTTTTTTTAAATAAACTTTAAGGTACATTTACTCGGGTGAACTTTACTTGATCAAAACTTCAGCCGATGATACCTTTGGATTATTAATTGCAGCCGACGATTTACTCCTTGAAGAATTATTCATACATGTCCAAGATCACTTGATCGAAGAACATACCGATTGGATTGAACAAAATTTCGTCCTAATCCATAATTCCCCATTCAAACTTGATCACCACAAAAAATTGCGAAATTATTGCATAAAATTAATCTGCTCAAATCCACGACCATTTTTTACTTCTAAATACTTTCCCTCTCTTAATAAAGACACCCTCTTTGACTTGCTTAAAATGGATAATTTATTTATTGAAAATGAAATTGATATCTGGAATAGTTTAATCAAATGGGGTATCGAGAATACTCCTGGATTGGCAAGCAAGCATGATGATGTAACGAGATGGAGTAAAAAGAATTTTGAAGCCTTGAAGGAAACCTTGAGTCAATTCATTCCCCTTGTCGGATTTGTGGAAATCTCGCCTGGGGAATTTTTCGATAATGTTCGTCCTTATAAAGCTGTTATTCCTTGCGATATCTATGAAGAGCTCGCTGAATTCTATTACAAAAAAACCTTTCCAAAGTCAATCATTTCACCACCACGACTTCGAAGGATTCAATCGAAAATCGTCAACCCAGAGCTTACTTATATAATTGCTCGTTGGATCGAAAGACGTAATGAAAGCTACCCTTTACTTAGGAAAAAATATAAGTTCGAGCTTCTTTATCGCGGAACTCGAGATGAACTCAATGCTGATTCATTTCGTAAAAAGTATAGTAATCATGGTCCATGTTTAGTATTATTCAAGCAACATATGTCACCAGTAATTTATGGAGAATATAATCCACTAAAGTTTGTTCCAAGGAGTCGATGGTATAGTGAACAAAATAGCTTCATATTTTCATTTGAAAATGATCAGGATACTACAAATATGAGAATAAGCCGTTTGTTAGAGTTTGACAATAGGTTAAAAAGATGTGTCAGTTATGCAAGGAATGAATGGATTAATAATAAATTTTATTTCGCCAGTACGTTTCGTAAGATGGATCATTTTGTTTATCCAAACTTTTCAGGTTATTATGATCATAAGGTACAAAGTGATGTTAAATTTATTCCGGAGGAAATTGAAGTTTTTAATGTAAATATTTTGTAATTTAATAGATTAATTTTAATAATTTAATTTTTTTGAACTTAAAATCAACGTTGACTAATTTTGGAAGACCTTTGGATAACATAGATACTTTCAAGGGCTTATATTATAAATCTCCATATAGAGTCAACTTTTTGTAACATATTTCTCGGATTTCCATATTAAGCTAGAAAACTTTTTTTATTTTTAAATTTTATCTTGAAAAACTATAGTGATCTCAAAATCATTTTTATTAATTTTAATTAGCGAAGTTTAAAATGTAATATAATATTTTTGTTAATAATACAATAAAATTTTTATTTATTTATTTATTTGTATGTTAAAATGTCGTAACATTTGATTTTTATGTAAAAATTCTGATTACGTTAATTTAATCAATATTATTACTCACCGATAATTAATTTCAGTTAACTATTCCTTACTAGCTCTTTATTTACTAAGGGGTTAGAGTTATATAATTTCATCTTAAATTTTTTTTTTTTATTCAACTTCGTATATGTTTTAAAATTGGCCGATATTGTAAATTAATTAACCTCAAATGACTAAGTCTGTTCGTCATTTAGGATCATTTCAAAATAGTCGAATGACCTGGTTAAATTCTTAATATAAAATCAACGGCATGTATAAGCAGGCAGGTCAAACAAAGATCGTTCCGTACTACATTGTATATATAATTGGTCGGTAACACAAATCATTTTAATAAATCCTTTTTTTTTTTTTTTTTTTTTTTTTTTTTTTTTTAAAAAAAAAAAAAAAAAAATGACATTAAAATTTCATGCCGGACTTTCACAAGACCTTTTATTCATGTTGAATAGCGCAAATGATCATAATGTAGTTATTCAAGTAGGAAAAGATCAAAATATAAAAGAATTTAGAGCACATTCAATTATTTTGAGAGCTCGTTCTCCTTATTTTAAAAGTGCATTCTCGAATGAATGGGTTACAAAAATTAATAATATAATCGAGTTTAAAAAACCGAACGTTAATCCTAATGTTTTCGAAATGATACTCAAGTATGTTCAAGAAATTAAGCATCTCATCTTTTTTTTTTTGAAACCAAACCAAATTACCTAATAATCTTCTTTTTTTCAATTCAATCAAGTTACATTTATACAGGAGAAATTGATTTAATTAAACAATCTGGTGATGATATTCTTGGACTTTTAGTTGCTTCCGATGAACTACTTTTCGAGGAATTCTTCAACCATGTACAGAGTTATTTGATTGAAAATAAATCAATCTGGATTCAACAAAATTTAGTCCTCATCCTTAATACAGCATTTAAACTTATCAATTGTGGAAAGCTTCAAAATTACTGTCTTGAATCCATTTGCTCTGAACCATTACCATTTATATCCTCGAAAGAATTTCCATCACTTGATAAAGATGTTCTTTATGAATTGCTTAAACGAGAGGATTTACAGATCGAAGAGATCGTGATTTGGGATTATTTAATTAAATGGGGAATCCATCAGACTTCTGGTTTGGGAAGTGATAGAACCAGGTATAATAATAAGAACTATGAAGCATTGAAGAAAACTTTAAAACGGTATATTCCTCTTATTCGATTTTCAGAAATTAGTTCTGCAGACTTTTATGATAAAGTTCATCCGTACATGAGCATTTTTCCTAAACATATTTTTGAAGATCTGATGGAATCATATGCGAATAACACCTTACCAAAAACAACAACTTTACCACCACGAATTGGAAAGTTTCAAATTGAATCAAAAATTATCAAGCCAAAGCTTGCTTCTATCATTATTAATTGGATGAATAAAAAGGACGCAAATGCTATCCGTAGCAAAGAAGATCCATTATACATGTTTAACCTTGTTTATCGTGGTAGCCAAGATGGGATCAATAATAATTCATTTAGAAACAAATATAATTTACAGGTTCCAACCTTAATTTTAGTCAAGTGTCAAGGTTTGCAAAAAATATTTGGTGGTTATTCTCCAATCAGATTTTATAACCATGACTTTGGTGAATGTTTCGCTCGTTCCGCTGATTGTTTTATTTTTTCTTTTGAAAATGATGTAGACACGCAAAATATGAAATTAAGTCGTGTAACTTCGCAATATTTTAATAATGCTATATATGAATACAACTCATATAATAACACTTATGGATTTAATTTTGGTGGTGGTGATTTATATACAAAAAATAATTATTTATATGTAGGTAAAAGCGGATTTTATGAGCATAATTTAATTGAAAATAATAATCCTTACAAAATTGAGGAAATCGAGGCCTTTAGTATAACAAACATCGAAAGATAATCCTTTAAAAAAAAAATTATTTATTGTCGTATATATTTATTAGGATTCCAATAAACTTTAACCTTTAGAACATAAGCCGACCCTAGTCCATTTACAATGTTTAATGTGCTTACATATTTAGAATCCGAATTAATAAACTTCTAAGCTAGGTAAAATCTATTTTACGAACGTTCTTTTAGGAAGTTATACATGAATACGCCGTGCATTTAAATAATTACCTTTTTTAAAACAAACGAGTTTTGCTAAAATATAACTATTCCATTTAAGTCAATGCACTTAAACATTTACAACTAGTAATTCTTTCTACAATATTACGTTACAGAAAAGTTTGAAATAACTTTTCTGGGTTAGATATCAATATGATGAAACAAAATAAATAAAAATTTTTTTTTTTCGAGAAATTTCCAAACACATTTCTAGTCTTTTTATGCATATGTGGCGTATAATATGTGAAAAACGCATTTATTAGGTTAGTCTACCATTTAAACAAAACAAATTGTCCATTTATATGGAAATATCTATTTATAAATGTCAGAGTTAGTTTGAATTTTAATGCATAACAGGTTTATAATGAACCGGTTTAAATCGGAATTACACAAATCGGTTTCAAACTTTAAACTGTGGATCGCTCAACGATGAAATATGATATGTAACAGCTTTTTTTAAAAAATAAAAAAAAGATGACTAAATATTTCATGCTGGACTTTCATAAGACCTTTTGTTCAAGTTGCATGGCGCAGATGACCATAATGTAGTTATCCAAATAGGAAAATATCAAAATAAAAAAGAATTTGGTGCACTTTCAAATATTTTGAGAGCTCATTCTCCTTATTTTAAAAGTGCATTCTCGGATAGAAGGGCTACAAAAAAATAACAATAATATAATCGAGTTTAAAAAACCGAACATTAATCCTAATGTGTTTAAATGATACTCGTGTGCTCAAAAAGATTTGAAATCTTTTTGAAATAACCAAATAACAAATCTCCTTTTTTTTTTCAATACAATTAAGTTATATTCATGCAGGCGAAATGGATTTAATAAAACAATCTGGTGTTGATATTCTTGGTCTTTAATTGTTTCCGAAGAACTACTTCTCGAGCAATTATTTAATCATGTTCAAGAATATTTGATTGAAAACAATCAACTTGGGTCTAACAAAATTTCATTCTCGTTCTTCATACAGCATTTAAACTTACTAATTGTGAAAAACTGTCCTTTAGCAATTATGCCTTAGGTAGACTTTCCATCGTTATCTGTGATTATTCGATTAAATGAGGTTTATCAGACTTCTGTGATAAAGACAGGTATAAAAATATGAATTATGATCCATTGAAGAAAACATTATATTCCTCTTATTCGATTTTCAGAAATTAGTTCTGCATATTTTTCGAAAGTTCGTCCCGTAAAAGCGCATGATTCCGAAAATATTTATGAAGAAATGGAGTCATATATGAAAAATTCTTCACCAATAACAGAAACTTGAGTTGGAAAGTTGCAATTGAATCGAAACTTTTCAAGCTGATACTTGCTTACATCATTACTAACTGGATGAATAAAAAATACGAAAGGTTAACCGTAATAAATCATATTAATCATTAGTAGCCTAGATGGAATCAATAATAATTCATTAGAAAATAACATAATTTACAGGTTCGAACCTTAGTCTTGGTCAAGTGCCAAGGTTCGCAAAAAATATTTGGAGGTTATTCTCCAACCAGATATTATAACCATGACTTTGGTGAACGTTTCGCTCGCTCCGCTGATTGTTTATTTGTTCTTTTGAAAATGATGAAAACACGCAAAATTTGAAATTAAGACGTGTAATTCCGTAGTATTTAATTGAATACTACACTAATAATGATAATTTTGGATTTAATTTTAGTTGTGATAATTTATATACACAACACAAATAATTATTTATATTTAAGTAACACCACATAATTTAGTTGTTACACAATCGAGGAAATTGAGCCCTTTAATATAACAGACACCAAAAATAACTTTTTATATATATTTTTTTTTTTTTGCTTTTTAGATTTGTTTCTTATTTAGATGTAAACTAACCTTAATTTTGACATTCTATATAAATTTTTTATAACTTATAAAACATACACTATTATATTATATAACAATAAACAATACAAATATAAATGGATTCCAGTAACCATATACCACTAATTAAATTATTTTTTTTAAAAAAAAGAGATTATATATCAATCTCATCTCAATATAAGAAGTGAGAAATAATATTATATATAACTATAGATACAAGCAATGGAAATAATACTCTTCTGATATAGAAGAACAACATTGTGATATTGATTGATTCACAGTTGCAATAGTCTAGGATATCTATAGTTCATTATTAGGAATAAATTACGACGATAAAAAATTATTTAAAGAATGAAATCGAAATCACCTTTGTTAGCTAATATTAAAGAATAATGTTAGTTATGCAATAACAATATGTTGCAATATTAAATATTTCAGAAAGCGTTGAGTTTTCTTTAAAGGCGATAGATTATTGAAGATAAAAAACTCACAGGTTGCAGTACTGCGTAAATATCTCCCTAAAAAAAACTTCTGAATTTAATCAACTGACAATGTTGGTACAATTTCGGTACGTTAAAACGTACCAATGATGTTATAAAATATGCATGGTTTGAAGAGATATGTTTTTGTTGCATTTATAAAAGTTAATTATTTTAAATTGTCAATTTTGAAATATTAAATATCAGATCAGAAATTTTCGGCATAAAATAAAAAAATTTATCCGTTATGATTTCAATTAAAAATAAATTTCAAAACTGATACGTACAAAATCAGGATAATGATTTTTCATAGGGCTAAGTTCAAGATGCTTGTTTAGCATTTCTTCAAATTACTGTATTTGAGCGATGGCCTTTTTATTTTGAAGGTTTACTATTATGAAAAAATTATTTCGTGATTTATAACTCAAAAAATGTAAATTTATCAAAGATAAATAGAATAAAGATACAGTTTTAGATTTTAAAGCTATCAATGGGGTAAATATAATACTTTAACATTATCACTTTATTGTTACAAGATGGTTAAAATATAATTACATAAATATCAAGTAAATATTGTATTCACTATAATAATAAAATAACCTCATACATAATATTCTAACCATGATCCATTTCTATCGCAATTTTAATCTTTAATTTGGTTATAAATAGTTTTATCATAATAGAAATGGATATTATTCACATTCATATTGCAAATGATCACGTTCACCACATATGTAACATCTATTACAATTTTCAGAAGAATGACGTCTACCACATTTGAAACAATTATAACATTCAGTAGCAACGTGATCGAGTCCACCGCATTCTGGACAATTATTGCATTGCTCAGTAAGATGATCACGACTACAACATATGTCACAAATACATTTATTGGCAACATGACCATATCTACCACAGAGGTAACATTGTTGTGACAATTGGTAACGAATCTTCCCTAAAAATTCTGATATATCCTCTTTACAATAAGGCCCACCTCTTACATTATTGATGCCATATCTATTAATATATTCAAGGGTTTTCATTAATTCCAAATGTTTATTATTGGTTTTCACCAACTCTTTGATTCCGGTTGGTCGATATCTACGTGTCCAGACTGAGCCACGTCCGTTTGAGTGTTGTTTATATCTAACGTCGATATCCATAGTTCTACCAACATAATATTTGTTATTTCGACATTTCAAGACATAAACAAAATACATCCCAAATGAAAGGTTTGAGGATACAATGTAAACTATTAAATGGATACGTTGGAAAACTATTTGCGAATATGTATGACCAAATGGAACTGTGTCTCCTCTTGAAATGGGATTTATTTTATAATACTAATTTAGGTTACATAAACTGATCATGAGATCACACACACATATCATATGAATCTATCCTTCAACATTTTAAAATTGGATATTAAAATTGGACGTGTAATAAATGTTTTGTGTAACAGTAAATAAATTTAAATATGGTTGTACAATTTTGATTCAAACCAATTTTTATGAAACTTTTCATAAATATATAATGAATAAAAGTCATAAATTTTCTTTCGGATTAACAGAAAAAAGCCTTACAAAAATTTCTGTAATATCTTTTTTGATATATTATTTCAAATGATTTATTGGAATTTCTTTTTTCTTATTCATTGATTGTAAAGCATTGCTAAACCATTAAATAACTATTTTAACTAATAAACTGGCTAAGCCCTTTACATCACAACAGGATTGTGGCGCAGTCAGTCTTAAATAATGTGATCATCCGATTAACCATAAATCTCATTTTTTTTTTTTTTTTTTTTTTTTTAAAAAAAAAAAAAATGGCTTCAAAATTCCATGCTGGACTTTCTCAAGACCTTTTATTGATGTTGAATAATGCAGATGACCATGATATAGTTATTAGAGTAGGAAAAGATCCAGATATAAGAGAATTTAGTGCACATTCATGCATTCTGAAAGCCCGTTCTCCTTATTTTAAAAGGGTATTGTCAGCTGAACAAACTACAAAAAATAATAATAATGTAAACGAGTTCAAAAAACAGAACATTAACCCTAATGTTTTCGAAATAATTCTAAAGTATGATATGTCTAAGAAATTTATAATTTTTTGTTGAAATAATTTTTAACATATCTGAATTTCTTTTTTTCTCAATAATAAATCAAGTTATATTTATACAGGTGTGGTGACGGATTTAACTAACCAATTTGGTGAAGATATTCTTGGACTTTTAGTTGCGTCTGATGAGCTGCTTCTCGTGGAATTATTAAAATACGTTCAAGATCATTTAATTGAGAAACGATCAACTTGGGTCAAAAAAAATTTTGTTCTTGTTCTTCACAAAGTTTTTAATCTTGCTAATTGTAAGCAACTTCAAGATCACTGTTTTGAATCCATCTGCGCAGATCCTTTACCACTTATTACTTCGAAAGAATTTCCATCACTTGATAAAGATATTCTTTACTCATTGCTTAAGCGAGACGACTTTTATATTGAAGAAGAAATAATGATCTGGGATTGTTTAATTAAATGGGGTGTTAATCAGACTTCTGGTTTGGGATGTGATGAAGCTAAATGGAATGATAGGGATTATGAAGTATTGAAGAGTACTTTAAAGCAATTTATTCCTCTCATTCGATTTACAGAGATTAGTTCTACAGATTTTTTTGACAAAGTTCGTCCGTATAAGCCTATTATTCCAAAAAGCATTTATGAAATAATGATGGAGTCATATATGAAAAATACTTTACCAAAAGCAACTACTTTACCATCACGAGTGGAAAAGGTTCAAATTGAATCGAAAATTATCAAGCCAAAGCTTGCTTCTATCATTATTAACTGGATGAATAGGAAAGATGCAGATGCTCCTCGTAGCAAGGCAGATACATTATACAAGTTTAACCTCATTTATCGTGGTAGCCAAGATGGTATTGATAGTGATTCATTTAGAAGCAAATATAACTTACAGGCGCCAACATTGGTCTTAGTCAAATGTCAGGGATCTCAAAAAATATTTGGAGGTTATTCTCCAATCGAGTTTTATAATTATAATTATGGTGATCGATATGTTCATTGTACTGATAGTTTCATTTTTTCTTTTGAAAATAATGAGGATGCACAAAATATGAAATTAAGTCGTGTAAACTCGCAGCATTCTGATCATGCTATATATGATTACGACTATCATAATAATTATGATTATGGATTTAATTTCGGTGGAAACACATTGTATACACGAAATAAGACATTATACGTAGCAAATAAGGAGGGTTATTATGAAGATAATATAAAGGATGATAATAATTATACAATTGAGGAATTCGAAGCCTTTAGAATATTCAAGCAATTTTAAATATTTGATATGTTGTACAGGTTCTTCACTTTTTAAAATAAAATAATATGTTTATATTTATATGAATGAACTTTTAATCAATTTAATGCATTAAAATAATATATAAAATGCGTTTTGCCGTGATATCAGTTTATCTTTTTAACAAGCTAAGAGAGACAATCATTTGCATTCTTCAGACAGTTGATCAATTTTCAGACAAAAAATGATTTTACCGAAATCTTTAAAGAGAATCGTACAGAAAAAAATTTTAATTTGTACAGAAAAAAATTAAACAAGTCTGGTTTATTTTGAACGCATGGAAAATTTAATATTTCTAAAAATGGGTAAAATTATAAAAGACCGACATTAATTCATACATTATAAAAAAATTATATAGGTATTGTAGAAGAAAACGTACTAAAATTTTGAAAAAGCAGGTACTAAGGTTATTTAATTTCTGGCACAGTTTTTTTGACATAAAAACTGCACAAAAGCTTTAAGGAATTATTTTCATAGGACAATAAGAGTCTATACCTATAAAAATTTGTTGAATGAAAATCAAGGGAAAAGTTCAAACTTTAAACTTGTGGATCGGAATTTATAGGTTACTATGTAGTAAAAAAAAAATTGTTAGCCGTGAATATACTGTATATTGGTTATTAAAATGTATTCTAAAATTTTATTGTATTTTTTTTTAAAAAAAATCAATGCAAATAGACTACCTGAATTCATTACATTTGTTGATTTTGTAATAATATCCGATTATCATTATTTTCTAAAGAATTACATGTTCAAAAAATTATTTTATTATTATCACTACCTAATAAACCTTTTTACACTGTTATTATGAGCAATGCTATAAACACCGTCATCAACTTCGTAATTAGTCGCGACTTAACCTTTTCATCTTGTAAAAGTATTACTAAGCCTTTGAATCTGCAGTTGTTATTTATACCGAACATATGTTGCTGATGGAGAAGATGAATTCTAAATCCTTAGGAGTCCTATAAATGAAAGGTAGAATCAGTACATATATATATCTATCTAATATATTGATTCATATTAGTGCTGCTGATAACGTTTAGTCATATTTAAATGTGAGTCAAATTAATCCTTTTTTTTTGTTAATTAATTAATTTTGATTGCTTTTATATATCCTTAAATTTTTTGATTTAAATTAGAATTGGTCGCTTCTTAAAATGGTTAAAATAGTTTCAAAATATTCGAAAAGTTTTATTTAAATCAAAGCCAATATTGATGAATCGTTAGAAATTATTTTTTATTGAATGAACTTACATTTATATATATTGGGAATAAAAAAAAAAAATTTGATTGTTCTTTTTATCTCCGGTTAATGATTTTTTAACCGGTTAAAATAGATGAATTTAACTCGACCGAAATTCAATTTCCGGCCATAATTAAGATTTTTATGATTGCAAAAATATTGTCCAACTCCAAATTTATAGACTGGCCTAAGTTAATTTTAACCGGTTATTAACCGGTTAAAGAAATTTTGGCCGGTTAACCGGTTCTAATCTCTACGGGCTGGCGATTTTTCAAAAAATCTTGCGTCCTCTTTTCAATAAGTTCCTCTTCAGATTGGATCGTATAAGGTGAGTTAATTTCTTAAGTTGTGCTCTTCTTTGATTTTTTTATTTTATTTATTTATTATTATTATTATAGACTAGATAAGATTTTTTTTTAAAATCATTTTGTGCGCTTAAGTATTATGTTAAAATTTTTATGTTTTTAGTTCATTTTTTAAATCATTCCGTTGTTATTTTTTTTTTGTGGTGTGGTTCAATCGCTTCGTGATTTATTTCTTTCTTTTTTTTATTACGATCGATGGTGTTGAGATCGACTCAACCTCCTGTTTCTAAATAATGACACGACTTTCTATAATCGGAAGATATATTACTATATATGAATTGATTGATGATAAATATTTTATGTAACTCCTTTTTTTTTTTTTTTTTTGTTAAAAAAAAAAAATGACTTCCAAATTTCATGCTGAACTTTCGCAAGAACTTTTATTGATGCTAAATAGCGCAGATGACCATAATGTAGTTATCCAAGTAGGAAAAGATCAAAATATAAAAGAATTTAGAGCACATTCAAATATTTTGAGAGCTCGTTCTCCTTATTTTAAAAGTGCATTCTCATCTGGATGGGCTACAAAAAATAATAATATAATCGAGTTCAAAAAACCGAACATTAATCCTAAAGTGTTCGAAATGATACTTAAGTATGCTCAATAAATTTGAAATCTTTTTGAAATTATTTTAAAACAACCAAATTACCTAATAATCTTCTTTTTTCAATTAAATTAAGTTACATTTATGCAGGCGAAGTAGATTTAACTAAACAATCCGGTGCTGATATCCTTGGTCTTTTAATTGCTTCCGATGAACTACTTCTCGAGCAATTATTTAACCATGTTCAAGATTATTTGATTGAAAAACGATCAACTTGGGTCCAACAAAATTTCGTTCTCGTCCTTCATACAGTATTTAAACTTACTAATTGTGAAAAGCTACAAAGTTACTGTCTTGAATCCATCTGCTCAGAACCTTTACCATTCATGTCTTCGAAAAACTTTCCATCACTTGATAAAGATATTCTTTATGGTTTGCTTAAGCGAGACGATTTACAGGTCGAAGAGATCGTGATCTGGGATTATTTAATTAAATGGGGTATCAATCAGACTTCTGGTTTGGGAAGTGATAGAACCAGGTATAATAATAATAATTATGAAGCATTGAAGAAAACTTTAAAACATTTTATTCCTCTTATTCGATTTTCAGAAATTAATTCTGCAGACTTTTTTGATAAAGTTCGTCCGTATAAGCGCATTATTCCTGAATATATTTATGAAGAAGTCATGGAGTCATATATGAAAAATACATTACCAAAAACAACCACCTTGCCACCACGAGTTGGAAAGGTTCAGATTGAATCGAAAATTATCAAGCCAAAGCTTGCTTCTATCATTATTAACTGGATGAATAGGAAAGACGCCAAAGCTATCCGTAGCAAAGAAGATCTATTATACAAATTTAACCTCATTTATCGTGGTAGCCGAGATGGGATCGATAATAATTCATTTAGAAGCAATTATAATTCACAGGTTCCAACATTGGTCTTAGTCAAGTGCCAAGGTTCGCAAAAAATATTTGGTGGTTATTCTCCAATCAAGTTTTACAATTATGATTATGGTGATCAATTTACTGGGTCTATTGATTGTTTTATTTTTTCTTTTGAAAATAATGAAGATACACAAAATATGAAATTAAGTCGTGTTAATTCTCAGTATTATAATTATGCTATATATGAATACTACGCTTATGATGATAGTTATGGATTTAATTTTGGTTGTGACTTTTATACACAAGGTCAGTGTTTATATGTAAACATGAATACCGGTTATTATGAAAATAATGTATTTAATAATAATAATGCTTACACAATCGAGGAAATTGAGGCCTTTAATATAACAAACACCAGAAAATAATTATATATATATATATTGTTATTTCGATTTATTTTAAGTGTATTTTACATTATTCCTAAATAAACATTTATGGTAAACTAGGTTTTTTTACTTTTTAAAGATTAGCCATACTTTTAAATAATCAATATCATTTTTAAAGATTCTATTCCTGTCTTTAAGTGAATTAATTCAAAGTTATACACTAAGTGCTTATAATTAATTAATTTTTTAAAATAAATTCAATTCTGTAAGTTTCGCATTTATACACTTAATATTTGTTTTAACATACAGTATAAAGTATTTTTAAACGATCTAGATAATAAATTTCTGCGTTAGATATCAGTAATATCTTGATCATTATGAAAACCAGATAAATAACTCAATTCTGCATGTGATCGCGAAATATTGTATTTGTTTCGAAGCACATATTCTGTCTAGGATTGCCTGTTATTTTATGCATGAGTAATGCAAAATATGTGAGAGACGTGAGTGTAGCAATAGAATCCACATAATTATTGCTTCACGAAAAATGGAACGGATCTTTAATAAGATTAGTTTGTATGCCAAATTTTATAGATCTCAAGATGACACACGTATTGCACGGACTATGCTTTAGATAATTGTGTAAATTATTCATATGTAACTAAGGCATATTATTTTTTTTTAGTAACATATTGGCTATTTATTGCTAAAGATACAAGCAAAAGTTGGTTTCTAAATTTCTAATATTATTAATAAAATTATAAAAAATTACTTGCACATTTTGTCAATTTCGCATTGTCATCATATTTAATTAGTCAATCAAATCCTGTAATTGTGTATCCTGACATGTAACATCTGGCTGCGTATCATTTACAAATTCTTCAAATTAAGCATTTAAGTTTTGCTTTTTGCTAGTCTTTTATAAATGGTTTATGTAATTAAATAAGTTTATATTTACCGTCCTTTAATAAATATTGGTTTATGTTTTTATTCATTTTTAAATGGAACGAAATTTAGCTAATGTATATAAACGAAACGTAAACTTTAATATTAACTATCTACGATTGTGTAAATGGCAAGTAATATACATATATTTGAATATTTTCTAAAAAGTAATATTCTGAATGAGACGAACAAAGTTACAATTGTACTTGGGAATTTTTTTTTTTGATTTTTAATTTGATCGTCTACTCACCTCAATTTTCTGAAATATATTAAATTTTTTTTTTCTTTTGTTCTTAGTACTGACTTTATTAAGAATAACAAATATCCGGTTATAACAGTAAATTTCAATGCTCTACAAAGCTAGCTCGAATTATTATATAGTCAACTTTTTGAGCATTTCTTACAATGAGAAATGTTCGAGATACATCTAATAAGAGAAAATGATTTCAGTATCATTTCGTAATGAATATCTCGCTTCTTAATTCTCAAAGAATAAAGTATAATTAATAATTTAAAAGAAATTAAAAAATATTCCTTGTGACATTCATTTCTTCTAAAAAGGCAATGTAAGTTTTTTTTTATTTATATGTGATATTAAATAAACTTCTCTTTTAAGCAATTTAAGAAAAAAAGGCGATGCATTTTAAGCCAGGCTGACGTTACAGTGGCAGATTCATAAAGCTCGGGAGCTGGCTCCACTTATATGAAATTTTAAACACAACGTAAGATATGTAAACCGGGGGTGTACTGTATAATAAAATTTTATTATTTTGTGTAACATTTATCTATGAAAAATAAAAATTAACAGCGCGAAAGAAAGAAATAAATATTATCTCAAAAAATGCTTGCAAGAAAAAGAGCGTTAAAGTTTATCTAGAACATTTCTCGCGATTTTTATTTCATTTATAAATTTATTATCTTAATTGGTGAAATTATTTATTAAATTTTTTTTCCAAATTTGGCCTAATACTATACAAAATATACAAAATCTAAAACCGTTATCAATACAAAATACCTTCTTTCAAACCTAACCATATATATTCCAGTTTACGATACATTATGTAGCTTTTAACTCATTGAATTGAATTCATTTCAATCATATGAATTATATAAACCTGCAGTTTAAATTCGTTTTAACTCAAATTGTCGAGATTAGAAATTAAAAATAGAAATTCGTAAGTGCTCAAAATTCCGAAAGCGGAATGTCGTGATTACTACTTTTTTTTACTTATGTCATTGCAAAACTAGTTTGATCCCACGTATATTTTACACATTTTTCTGGCTTAATGCATTACACGCTCATCAATAATATATAGAATTTTCATCTTCATGATAAAAAAAATAATAGATAGTATACAAAGATTATAAAATATTAATATTTATTAGTTTACCCAAACGTGTTCATACAAATATTCCTTACGTATTTAAGTTTGCGTAACACAGTAAAGGAAACGTTTAGGTGAAAATGTAAGTTAATTTACCTCCTACTTTACGTGACAAAAATAATGTATAAAATACAAAAAAAAACATAGGCGGTTTGCAGTAGAAAGGGAAGAAACTACAAAAAAAAAAAAAATTTATTTATTTTACCGGTATATGCTAAATATTATTTTTTTTTTTTTGGTAAAATAAGTCCAGATTTACATTAAAACTCAAAATAAAAATAAAAATAAAATAAAATAAAATAAAAAAATCTTTAGAGTGTCTCCCTTCCTACTGCAAAACGCCCATACTTTTCTAAGAGAGACCAATAAAGTTTATTTTTAAATCTCGGTAAATCGTATCGTATAATTGCAAACTCTACGAAATGATGTAAGTTTATGATTAAATACACTAATGTTTAAATATCGTATAAGGGGTCGATTTTTATTATTTCTTTTTTTATTTGTTTTTTATATAACAAAGGTTACTGAATATCTTGGGCCAAATTTAAAGTGATTACTAGTTAATCGTGATCTATTCAATTTAACGGCTTTCTAAAGATTTCTTATTTTTAGTATGTGCTTATTGATACATCAGAGAATTCAAATTAGAATTCCTTATAAAGAAATTTTAACATAAAAAAAAAGTCTACTTGTTTTATTCAAAGATTCACATGAAAAATAGAAAATAACTTTAATTTATAATGTATGTTTTATACCAACTTTTAATTTATATAATTTCAAAAAGAAAGAAATAAAAGAAAAATAAAACAATTTTCATCGTTAAAACATTTATTTAAATAGTTGTCTGTATATTTTAAGTATCTGAACAATTGCTTCATTTTTAAAATTGAGAAAAGTAATGTGGAAACATATTTTGAAAACTTCGTACCAGGAAATTGTTATTAAAATTGTGTTTATTTAGCTGCTTAAACATAATTACATTTAATATCGACAAACTTTTCGGTCCTTTGTCTAAACTAAACGAAGTATTAAATTTTTTTCATTACTTTAGTTGTTATTATTAGGTCGTTATTTACTGCGGATATGACGCAGCTTAAAATCCGAAATTTTTGAATTATTAAATTGAAAAGGCGGTTTGCGATTCAATAATTAGACCTCTTGATTTATTCAACGTAATAATTTCAACTTTATGATATAATATTACCAGATTTTCAGTATTGTTACATTTAATATAATTCCGACCGAAAAACGATAATTTTGACCCAAAGATAATTCGGTTAGGGGATTTATAGCGGGTTTTCATTTTCTTTAATACACACACAACTTCCACCTTCCCTTTTTCATCTTGCTTGCGCTATTTATATTCTCCGATTATATTATTTTTATTTTCGCAAATTCAATTAATTGGCATTTAGTGATTAGCATTTATTGAATTGATTAAATTTCGCAAGTGTAGAGTCAACAATTGATATTAAATTTATTATCATTTTTGCTTAATTAAAAACCTTCTTTTTACGAATATAAACGTATACAACAGTCTTATTGTTTGTACGTGTACGGAATCCGACCAAGTTGATCATGCTAATCGGAGTCAATGCTCCTTATTCAGATTCATTATTAAAAGATCGACAACATGACGCCACAAATGTTACAATCAATAAATACTTATTTCTAAATTCGTTCTATTTTTTTTTTTCATGAACTTGTTTATTTTTTAACTCAAAAGATATACAAAAAAATTTTTTTATTTTTCCAAAATGACTTCAATATTTTATCCCAGTCTTTCAAGAGATTTATCCTGTATGTTAGAAAATTCCGATGATTTCAATGTTACTATTAAAGTTGGTGAAAAGAATAATACAAAAGAATTTCGAGCACATACGCTTATTTTACGGGCGCGCTCTCAATATTTTAAAGTAGCCTTCTCGTCTAATTGGATTACAAAAGAGAATGATATGATCCTGTTTAATAAGCCAAACATTAATCAGAATGTTTTTGACATGATTTTAAAGTAGGCTATGTTAAAATGTATAACTTTATTGAATAATTTTTTTTTTTGTCCGATTATAAATCAAAAAAATCATTCAATGATTTCTTTTTTCTTTTCTAACTTTTAAGGTATATTTATGCAGGTGAACTTGATTTGACGAATCTGTCAAGTGAAGATATTCTTAGATTGTTAATCACTTCCGATGAATTATTACTTGAAGAATTAATCAAACCAGTTCAAGCTTACTTGATTAAAAATCCACATGTTTGGGTTCAAAGGAATTTTGTTCTAATTTATCATCAAAGTCTTATTAATTGCAAAAGACTGCAAGATTTTTGCTTTGAACCAATCTGTGTAGTTCCAGAACCATTTTTCAATTCAAAACATTTTCTATCACTTGACAAAGATATCCTTTTCGACTTGCTTAAAAGAGATGATTTGACGATTGGAGAGATTGATATCTGGGATTGTTTAGTTAAATGGGGAATTGGACAGACTCCAAGATTGATTGAGAATTTTAATGAAACTGAGTGGAATCCAAAGGGACTTGAAGTCTTGGAGAAAACAATTGAAAAATTTATTCCTCTTATTCGATTTACAGGTGGTGTACCTTATTTTATAACTCGTCCTTATAAAGCTGCCATTCCCTATGGTGTTTATAGAAGAATTGATTTAATTTGTAATAACAAAATCTATAAGAAGGAAACAACTTTAACACCGCGATCTAGAACGAAATCAAAAAATCAATTCATGGTGGCTTCACAATTGACATTCCATTCTCTTTCGAGAGATCTTGCTTTATTATTAAAGAAATCTGATGAATGTAATGTGATTATTCTAGTTGGGGAAAACCAAGATGCAAGGGAATTTCATGTGCATTCAGTTATTTTACAAGCTCGCTCCCCATATTTTAAAAGTGTCTTTTCGTATAATTCCATGAGAAATAATGAAATGTTCACGTTTAATATACCTAACATCACTCCAATTATTTTTGAAACAATTATAATGTAAGTTATAAAATTTAAAATTCGTTCAATTATAATTAATTTTTTTTTAATTTATAAATTTTTTCAATTTTCTTTTTTTCTTTTAAGTTATATATACACAGGTGAACTTGATTTGTCCAAGCTGTCAGATGAAAATATTTTTTGGTTGATCATTGCATCGGATGTATTCCTACTTCAAGAATTATTTAACTATGTTCAAGATCACTTAATTGAAAACCTTACTAGTTGGATTCATCAAAATATCGTTTTCGTTCTTAATACCATATTTAAAATTGTTGTCTGCAAGAAACTAATAGATTATTGTCTCGAAAGAATCTGTGAATATCCACAAACATTAATCGCTTCGAAAAACTTTGCATCACTGGATAAAGATATTCTATTTCATTTGCTTGAAAGAGATGATTTGAAGATTGAAGAAATTGAAGTCTGGAATTGTTTAATTAAATGGTGTAATGAGAATACTCCTGGGTTGGAAAGTGAGAATGTTGATAGAAACCAATGGAGTCAAGAGAATATTGAAGCATTTGAGAAAACGATAAGTCAATTCATTCCCCTTATTCGATTTGTGGAAATTTCATCTGAAGATTTCTTTGATAAAGTCCGTCCTTACAAAGATTTTATTCCTCGTAATATTTATGAAGAAGTTGCTGAATTTTATTTTAAAAACACCTTACCAAAGTCAACGTTGACGCAACCGCGATCTATAAATACTCAATTTGAAATTGAATCAAATCTTATCAGACCAAATCTCGGTTATATGATTGCTCAATGGATTGAAAAGAAAGATGTAGAAAACCTCTACCTTAAGAAAAAATATAAATTTAAACTCCTTTATAGAAGTAGCCGAGATGGAATCAGTATTGATGCATTTCGTACAAAGTGTAATAATCATGGTCCATGTTTGGTATTAGTAAAAAAACAATTCTCAACAAAAATTTATGGAGGATACAATCCACTTGATTTTGTTCAAGACTGTTCGAAAAAAAGTTTTTATAACACAAGTGAAAGTTTTATATTTTTGCTTGAAGATACAAAAGTGAAAATAAGTCGCGTAGTTGATACAAGTCGTGCAATAGTCGAACATAAACATTCTGGATTTAATTTTGGGGAAACTTTTTATATGGGTGATGAAAGTATTTTTCTTCGTTATAATGGTTCTTATGAAGCGAATGTTGTAGATTCAAATAGATATACTAGTTTTACTCCGGAAGAAATAGAAATTTTTAGATTATTGTAAATTCTTTGTAATTTATTGTTATAGAATTAGAAGTATCTATGTATTTTTATAAAATAAATAACTAGAAATAAAAAAAAAAAAAAATTTAAATCAAACCAATATCAGATATATGATTCAGTTGACGCTATTCAATATCACGTTTTTCCCTATATTAAAAACTTATTAAACTAAGCCTAAGCCTATATTAAGATTTTATTTGCAACTAAAACCAAGTACTTTAGTATTCAAAAGAACTTTATTTCGTTGAAAATTTGAACTTTAAACTTCATTTTTAATGCTAAAAAAGAAAAACATTATAAATATTTACAACTTTTTATTAGTCAAGATCCAAGTGGTTTTACAAGATTCTATTGCTTTGTCAATTCTTTCAATATTTAAATTTTGCATAAATGAAGTATTGGTTTTTAATAAGGCCTTTTTACATTGGTTTTTTGAATATTATAAGGATTTTATTCAACCTTTAACGATGCTTTTTTAAATGATGCAGATGCAAGAAATTTTAAAAGTTCTCTCTTCTGTGCAATTTCGGTTTAAATGGTAAGATTACTGAACAAGTTTAATGGAGTATTCAACCGAATATTTTCTTTTTTTAAAAAAAAAAAAATGAATAATAAATAAAGTGCTTCTAAGCTATATAGTGATGGGACAAGTGCATAATTCAAATCAGCCAATAAATAAATCATAATAATGCGAAACGATATTCAGTTCATTGCTTCAATTTCTCCGTAAGAAAAATTATCTTTATCGAACTTAGTTTGCAAAGATTAGATCACGTGTAATCTCGTAGAACGTCATTTTGTATCGTCTTGTAAGTAGTTCTTCGCATTAATATTCGATAATATCAATTGTTTTTTGATCTCTTAAAAAATATGTGACTCTTAAAAATTTTGGGAGGGATTTTATTAAAAAAAAAAATTTTTTTTTTGTTTAAGATTTCAACTTTAGTAATTAACCCTATTAAAAAGGTGCATGTGAAATTGACCAGAAAGCGTTAGGTTATCTTAAAAGCACTGCATCCTAAAACTTCTAGAACATTAGTTGTTGACAGTGTTTCTTTTTTTTTTTTTGCATGTTTCCAGATTTTCGATATCATCTGCGCCAGATTACTGAGTTGTTGATATCCGTTAGTTAGATGAAAATTTTCAAAGTACACTTCTTCAAAAAAGGTTTCACCCGACATTGGAAATATATATTACATGTCAATTTTCATTTTTAATCAACGTCCACATAATCATCATTCAAAATATGTTGCCATGAAGAAGGAATAAAAATTCTTTATTAGGATGGCATATCTAACGATAAGTCTTTAAATGATTAAAGCCTTAGGTTCTTTTACAAAAAAATCGTATTTTTTTTTTTTTTTTTTTATTACCGAATGCTTACCAACGCTGGCTGAATTTTTGCATGGAGAAATGCCAAAAAATTAAAATACGTCCACGAATAAATCTTTTTAAACGATAATTATTTTCGTTTAATACAAGGGATGATTTTCGCAATGTAAAAAAATAAAACAAAATAAAATAAAATAAAAAAAAAAAAGTATTGCTAGTATGTATAAGTATAAAAAATAACACATGTACATGAACATGGAGAATCGTTGGTTTGCGCACACAAACTCATTACACTAATGTAACGTAATATATAAAATATATATAATTCACTAAATACATTATTTGAAAAAATCAATATGAAAATAATCAATTTCATAGCTTAATTGTACTCACTGGCATATTTAATCGTCCATTCCCGAGCATTAGCTTCATAACGAGAACGGTCCGTACGATATACAAGTGCAATTTCCGGTACGAGATAATCATCGGGATTAGGATCAGTTAACAACGAGCTAATAGACAAAAGCATTTTAGACAGAGTAAGTGAAGGTGACCATTGGTCCCTTAATATATCTAGACCTATAGATCCGTTTCTACTTATATTCGGATGATAAACCACTGTTGAAAAACATATTTTTGGTGGTTTAAACGGATAATCTGAGGGAAATTGGACGTTAAGTTTAAATAATCCTCCGCCGTATGGAGATTCTGGAGGACCCATAATAAATGCTTGCCAATTCAAGAGATCATCTCCAATGGGACCAGCACTGCATGTTGACGGTGGGTCATGTATGAGGTCAAGTAATTCTTTATTGAGTCTTTTGAGTGACATCTAATTACAAAAGAGATGTAATTATTTTGTGAAGTGGAAGTGCATGCGTGAAAAAAAAAACTTTTGCTTTTTCCGTGAGTAAATGCAATGATATATGTCACACGAGTTATTTAGCCGATATCAATCTTGGTAATTTCTATGAAATAAACTAATTAATAAAAATAGTTGTTTCATTGCCGGTATAATTTCGCTTGTAGATTATTTTCGATAATTGTAGTTAGTCCTTTGTAGATAATTTTTGATCGATGCTAATTAATTTTTTTATATGTACATATATGAGTTGGAAATCCTTAAAAAACTCAACACGGTCGCCCTTCTTACATTTGTATACACATACCTTCGCCATTTTGGCATTATAAATTTTAACTTTGTAACTTCGTTTATTTATTTATTTTTAAAATCCTGAATTTCTTATTATTTTTATTTTTATATTTTTGTATTTGCGCAATTTAAATATATTGACATTGCGAAAGTGAGAGCGCCGACTTTGAGGTAACACTGATTAATTGATATTATTAAATAAATATATTGTTACAATTACTCCTTTTGTCTGTTGGAGGGAAAAGACTATGATAGGTCGATTCAAACGGGTTTGAAATATAACTACGAGGGATAGCTAGTACTTAGAATAGTTTGTTTTTCTTAAATTGTATTTTTGATTTAATAAATTAATAATGTGTCTGGCAGTGCCACATCGTTAAAAAAAAAAAAAAAATTACTTCTTTTTTTCAATAAATTCCTTCTGCTTGCAATACAAAATTGCTTATAAAAACATAAACAAAGAACTGTATACATCAATAGTAGAACATTTTTGATCATTTGACTATAAATCGCCATATGGGCAATATAAATTCAAATGGAGAAAAAGAAAGCCTTTTCTAATTGACTTTTTTGACTTTTCTCTTATTGTTTGTAACATATAAAAAAAAAGTCAAAATTTAAGACTTTTAATTGTTAAGACTAATCACTAAAGATTAAAAAAAAAAAGATTTATTATAAAATTCTAAAGCAGGTAATTAATCAACTAATCTTATTTTAAATTATATTAAATTATCCGCTTATAAATTTATTAATATTGTTTTTTAAATAAAGTTGCAAGTTCTGTAAATTAATAAAAACAATAGAAGTCAAAGTGATACAATTGTACTTTATTGTAAAACGCGAAGGACTACAGTATTAGTGATGTAATTAGATTAAACGCTGTTTTAGAAAATGTATGTATTGTATTAACTGCATTATTTTAATAAATTATTATTAATTACTTTATGATTAATACCTTTCTCTAAATGGTAAACAATCATTGGAATGATATAAATAATGATAAAGTCAAAGATATCATTTGTTCATGGTCTTTTATTAATGAATTAAAAGTTTTAGCTTTTGTTTTAAAACTATTACATAAAGCTGTAATAGTTTTAGAAAGAGGAGAAGCTAATTTGAATGATTGTTATTTTGAATTGACTTGTATTTCTACTGCCATTAAAAGATTACCACAGTTTTAATTTAGATTTCTGTATAGAAAAAATTAATATTAAATTTAATGAATTTGATGATAATAATTATTTGATAGCTTTTTTTTAAATAGGAGGTTAGTATTTTATTTTAGTTATATAAGAATATAAAAAAATATTTAAATAGGTAATACCTTAAAGTTTGGAATTTGGATGTAATTAGTTACTATTGCAGTTAACACAACCAAAAAGTTAAGAATAGACTTATCCGAATCTAATATCCTTTATTCATAATTATTAAAATATAAAAATAATAAAATGCCTTTTAATTAACCATTTTTAAGACTGATGATATTATTAAATAGTGGATAAATTTGAAAATTGAATCACCAGTCTTACAAAAATACACATTGTATTTATTTTCCATTTGTTTGAAAAGTATCAGTTATAAATGTAAATTTTCTATTTATAGATGATTATCAAATTAAAAATGCTTTTAATTTAGTATAGAATAATTAAAATCAATGGTTAAATTGATTTTATATTATAAATCTAATGCATCTCATAAACTTATATTTTATAAAAAAGCAATTAATAAAAATTCATCAGTATTAAATGATGTTCAATTAAATGCTATTATTAATAATACCTTAGCAAAAAAGATGATACTAATGAGAGGATAATAATGATGATATACAAAAAATAACTATTAGCAATCATATAATTTCTAATTATAAAGTAATAAATTTTATTAAAAATTCAATTGATTTATCTAATAAAATTATTATTAAGAATTAGAAAAGCTTTTAATAGATGATTCAAATGATTTAGATAAAGAAAACATTAATTTTATAAAATTATTATATTAGATAATAATAATAAAGATGCTAAAAAAAATAGCTAAAAAAGGTGTGATAGATTTTAATATAGATGATGTAATAAAAGGATTTGTTGAAAATAATAATAATTAATATTGTATTAAAAATATAATTATAATAAAAAAAAAATTTAGAATTCTTTTATTATTACTATTTAATTAAATTATAATAAAAAGTAAATTTATTATAAAAATTATTATTATTAGTATATTTGTGTAATATTCTAAACTACCATTTTAAGTCACCATTATTGTATAATATTATTAATCAATAAAATCACCAGATTTGTGATTAACTAATTATAGAATTGATTGCTTATTTTAGATGTTAATTTTGTGCAATATTAATTATTTTAGCAATTTCGGCAATTTTAGCAAAATTTTTTCTGAAATAATTTTGTACAATATTAATAATTTAGTAATTTTAATAATTTTAATATATCAAAATTATTTTAACATTATAGCATTTTAGCATTTTTTAATTTTAGTATTTTAGTATTATCTTCTAGAATTTTAACAAGTAACTTTCGCTAAAGAATTAAATTATATTATGTAAAATTAGATGACACAATTTTACAAAACTTGCAAAATACTTTCAATATAGTTAATTCTTAAATATAGGTATAGAATATTATACAAATATCTGAGACTTCTAATATTTTGATAATAATTTATAATAATTGTATAAAAAATTAAATGAATATAGAATACTTATATCCTTTAATATTATTATACTTATAATTAAAAATAGATATAATATTAAACTATTAAAATATAATATTTTGCTTAATAAATATAAAGAAGTTTTACAAAAGTTATCTGAATTACACTTTTTTATAATCCTTTATATTATATATTGCTATTTTCAAGAAATGATAATGATTAGTATCTAAATATATTTTTTATAGAAGCTAGAATAAGAAAAAGAACATATAAATGCAATTTTTTTCTAACAGATAGATTAGAGATAGGAATTGGATACAAAATGCTAGTTGATTATATTAGCAATATATTATTAACAAATATGCATTAAATAAAATTATTATTTAAATTATTTGAGATAGAATCAGTTATTATTTAGAATTGAATATTATTAAGAAGGTATAGATATAATATATATAGGAGATAGTATTAATAATATTAAACATTATATTATCTTTTTATCAATATTTCCTGAAAAATCACAACAAGTATATCAATTATATCAAGATGTAATAGCAATTATATATCATTTTAACAAACTAGATTTTTTTATTATATTTATATATAATTTAAATGATCAGAAATTTTAAAAAAATATTATCATATCAAACTGTTACAGATAAACTACATTTAACTGCTAGAGTTTTTTATATAAAATTGTAAAAAATGATAAAAGATCTTAATAAAAAATATTGACTAGTAAGTTATTACATATATTTATGTAATAAAATTTTAAAAAAAAAGAGGATTACTATATACACATATTTTACTAATATTAGATATTAAAGTAAATTACATTTGATAGAAAAATATGATTTATTTATTTTTGCAAAAATTTTTAATTATAGCTTTTTTATTAAAATTGAGTTATAACATAATAAATTATATAATATATAATATAATTTTAATAGTTTATCTCTGATTTTTGCAATTAAAATTATATAAAAAAAAATAATACAATTGAATTATCAGTAATTATTTTAAAAAGTTTGAATAATTTTAAGTTTCATTTAAATTCTTTTTTATAAGATTCTTTTAAAATTTAAAATAAAAATAAATAATAATTTTTTAACTTTATTATTATCTAATAATAATGAAACTTTTAATTTTTTTAAAAAATTACAAATAAAACTAATAATAATAAAAATAAAATAAGAAAAAATAAAGTTTATATTAATATAGAATTATATAAATAAAAGTATTAAATATCTTACTATAAATATAAAGTTATTTATATATATTATAGATATAAAAATTAAAAACTTTATTAATTGCTATATATATTACTATATAATATGAAATAAAGTATAATTATAATTATAATCACAGAAAAGAAAAATTTCTTGTATTTAAAAATTTTTTATATTTTTTTTTATTAGCTTTTTTATATTATAATAATAGTTTATTTTTAATTGAAAATATTGTTAATTTCTACTTTAAAGCTAATTAAATTAATTTTAAAATATCATAAAATTATATATTATGTAAGAATTAATATGATTTATTATGATATTTTTCTTTATTATAATAAAATAAAAATTAAAAGAACTGTATTACAATATATTTTTATTATATTTTTGAAATTATAACATTTTAAAAAATCTGCATTATTATATTTATATTAATATATTTTATTACATTTTTGAACTATAATATTTTAAAATAGATATATTTTTTATATTTATTTTTATTATATATTATTATAATTATACAATAGTTAAATAATTTTTTTATATACACTATACTACAATAAATTACTGGATTTTATAAATTTTACTTAGTAATATATAGTAAAATTGAAAATCTTCAGGTTGCATAAAAGTTTACAATTTTTCA